ATACGCGGGAGAAAACCCGAACAACCAAAGATCCACATACAAATACCCACGAGAACCTCAGAAAACATATATATATATATATATATATATATATGTGTATATATATATATATATATAAAGAAAGGATTAATTACAATAGAACCCTCTTAATATTGCTTACTCCATCTTCATTTTTCTCATCTATAATTATCTAATAATCTTAAGGTAGTTCCCAGTAGGTTATAAACTTCAAATCTCCCCAGTCTACATTTTTAATAAAAAATACAAAGATACATTCCCATGTGGTATCCCCCTTTTATGCTATATCTAACCCTTATCTCTAAATCTCTCAGCCTTGTCATTTCTCTTAGTTTTAGCAGGCTTTCGCTTTACTAAGTTTTCCTGGCCTTTCCTCTTTATCCTTCTTTTTTCCTCTAATATTGTATTTATTTTCATCTGCCAGTCCCTCATCTTTCCTCCCGCCCTTTTCTTTTCTCTTTTTTGAAATTTCTTGTACAGCTTCTTCTTTTGCTTACTCTTGGAAGCTTTTTCTCTTTTATTTATTATCTCTGTCATCAATGTCTCAGTTTTAGTTCCTTTTGTGTCTTTTGGCAATGTCTCTGAATCTTCATGTCTGTCTTGGCTGTTTTCCTCTTCCTTTGGCTCCTCCTTTCTCGAGTTCCTTTGTTCTGCTGTAAATTGCATTATTTTTTCTGCCAGTGTGTCCAGTAGTCCCCTTCTTTTATCATTTCTTTCACAGTTTGCTTAAATTCTTTGCTTGCTTCTTCCATTTTTTAAATCAATTGTGTTATTCTTTATTTTATTAAATTTATTTGTAATCCTTGCCAAGAGACTCCGTTTATATCTCTTTTCTTTATTGGTCTTTCTATTTCCTTTGCATAGTCAACCCACAACAATCCCAAGATTGTTTCCTTTGACCTCTGGCTGCAATCTCCCCCTTTTTCGTTTAAGCTTCTGGAGTTCTTGTTATACTAAAGTATTTTATTTCATGTCTTTTCTCATTCACACATTTAACAGATCAGTAATTTTCCATAAAGTCATCCAGGAAAAAATGTCTTGTACCATTAGGTGGTGCTCTATATCGCTTCCACTTTTCAAAGTTCTTTTTCCCCCCTTTTTTCAATTATATTAATGTTAATTTTCAAACATTTCAAAGATTGGCTTTTTCTTTAAAATATAATCAATTCCAACCAAGTTCAGCATTTGATCCAATGCCTAATTAATGCCAGATTCTGTATATTATTCCCAATTCTGTCCTTAATTTCGTTATAGCTCTTTTGTAGTCTAGTTTTTTATTTACCTTATATTATCCTATTGTTTTCTATTCGCCGCTGTTGTACTCTCAAATGAGGAATCTTTCTTTCTGCTTTTGGGGGTTATTAAAACAAAAGTTTCAGCTTCTCTTGTCTGGATACACGCCGCTCACCACTTCACCTCTTCAGCACACACTTAGGTCCCAGTAGCTTCCCGTCTTCAGGGCAGCCATTAAAATTGCTGCTTCTCCTTGTCTTTCAGTGGAGTATATGAAGCCAGGGAGGGGAGATGTGTCTCCCCTCAACCTGGCTGGTGGTCTCCCCCTCTCCCCCCACCCCTCTAAGGTGGGTCTGATGGTTCTGGTCCTGTAGGGACCCCTCCAACAGGGTAAGCACAGATCGAAGCCGCGCACGATCGCGGTCTCCATCCGTCCTCACAATGGAAGTTCCACCCAAAGTCCACAAGTCTTAAAGTTGTCAAGTTCAAAGACCCCTGATTTAGAGGATAACTGCAAAATGATTTTGTACATTGCTTGGAATCACTTTCTGTGAGATGGGCAGCCATATCAATTTAATAAATAAATAAAATTAAAAGCTTAATTGAATTGAGAAACTTTTTATCTGTTCCACTGGCTAAATGAACTTGTAATGAAAGCAAATGCTCTTATTTATTCTTGTATATCTAGAAAACGGGACTATGAAGGCTTCCTCTGTGCACTGCTATTGCCTGCAGAATCACGTGCCTCTGTCTTGGCCCTGAGAGCCTTCAATGTAGAACTGGCTCAGGCAGGTATTAAAATATCCATTATATAACACAATGTTAAAATTACAAAAAAACAACAACCTAAAAATCCAAAACATGGAATTTGTGTTTTTTCCTGTTAGTTACTGTCTTACCAAGTTTAATCAGCAGTAGCAGGCTGTCTAAAATAGATTGTTTACTTACATTCAAAACATCCCAAAAATAATTCCTAACCTGTATGCATTACTTTGAACATAAATGTAGAACAATCCTCCAATCTTATAAAACTCTGCACAGTGTACAAAATAAATTGTTTGGGTACTTTATAGTCTTTTTAGGATTCTGTCATTATGAATAGATATTTATCTATATCATTCTATAGTAATTTATGAACACATGAAAATAATATTGATTTTAATGAATTGCTCTGGGATATTTCATTATTTGCTTTTGATATATTCAGCTGTCCCTTTAGAATATGTACCCTGATGCTTTTAAGTAGCTATTGACCAATCTTTTAGAAGATAGTTATAGAAGGTCATGGAGGAAATAGATTATCTGGACTTGTTTAAATCAGTTTTCAAGACTGGATTTGGCACATGGGTAACATTGATTGCTTTTGAAAGAAGAGAGAAATTAATAAAATCACATTATGAATTATCGTTATATAAAAATAAGGCTTTTGCTTTAATACTTTTGTCCCAACTTAAATGTTAATTGTATCCAGAAACTAGTTGCTAAATAGATATGTTAGTGTTATATCGCTTGTCCCATAAAAACAGTTCCAATAAATATTTTGGTTGCAAGCTATAAACCAGCAACCTTAATATTGTCACTATTGGAAAAATTGTTATTTCCAAGTCAATGGGTCTTTAGTCTTCCAAAAAAACCTACCAAAATCTGACACTCATTTCAGAGTTGAATTTAGAAGGTACACATCCAGTATCCAAGGCTAATATTGCCTTCAAATTGCCTATCTGCCTTTTTACACACCAGGAATAACGATGTTTGTTCAATAAGCTTGAAATGTTTTCTTGCTTATCTACTACTGACAATAAGGTGGATTAAGAACAGTTGAAAGAATTGAGAATCTGATGTTAACAGCCTAAACTATCAAAAGTAAGAAAGTAAGATAATTTGGCTTATAGATTTCATTTATAAATTATGTATTATGGTTGATAGCTTCCTAATTTTAGAATGATCAAATCTTTGCAAGCTCTTTTTAATACCTGAAATCTTGGGATTTCCTAGATCTTCTCTTACTTATATCTTTGTCATCTAGTGAGATCTATTGTAGCTGTTTGCAAATAACTAAGAGTGTGGAGCCTCTCTGCTCTACCCATGATGAGATAACTCATCCATGGAAGAATCCTGTGCCTCTACAACAGGCTGCTCTTTTTCATATCTCCTCCCTTTGTTTAAACAATATCATATATTTGATGTGATTAAAAAAAGCAGTGTAATTGGACTATCACTCCTATTGTGTTTCTGTTCCAGATTAGAGACTCTGTAACTGAGAAGACCATTGGTTTGATGCGGATAGAGTTTTGGAGGAATGCTGTAGAAGACATTTACCAGGATAATCCACCACAACAACCAGTGGCAATAGAGTTGTGGAAGGTATAAGGCTAAGCAATGCATTAAATATTTTTTGGGGGGTAACTAAATGCCACCCTGTCTAAAAAAAATTCTTTCTTTCTTTCTTTCTTTCTTTCTTTCTTTCTTTCTTTCTTTC